ATCCAGATTTGAAATTCTGATGTCCGGATTTCGCCTGTACAGTCATGTGACTACATGTTGGGCATTCAGCAACCAGCCTGCATTGGCAGTCATGTGCAGCGCCCTGTAGTCATGTTACCATGCTTTACAATGTTTTTTGCCAGAAACTGGCATTTACTTTTAATTTTTAGCCAAAACCACCTCATAGCCAACTATGGGTTTGCTTAACAACTGCAATGTTCATTTAATGACCACAGCATTCAATTTACAATGGACACATTCACTTTACAACAGCTGCAAAAAAAAAAGATCATAAAATTGGCATGGATACATGTTGACCTTCTTTATGACCATGGCAACTTATGACCGAAATTGTGGGCTCAATTATGGTTGTAAGTCAAGGGCCAACTGTACTTTTCTGCTGCATATCTTCTTCTCCATCTTCTTTACAATTTCTGGAGAAATACACAAAGCTCCATTTTCCTTAAACATGATTCAGGACACAAGTTAAGGCCAAAAATGAAGCAAGTATATTACTTAGTATGATATTTACATCATGATTGGCATAATTGTTATCACAAAAAGTGTTCTTTCCTGTCATCAAATGATGGGATAGACCACAAGTTTAGTGTAGTTACTCAAATGTTGTCAAGAAATATGATAGAGTAACCTGGGGTGTATCTCATGAATTTTAATGAAAAAACATGTTCTCATGGAGAAAACTGAATTATTAAATTATAAAGAACATAACATACAGTACATCTTTAAGACACATTATGTGGAGAACAGAAAAACCCAGACATCCATAACCAAAACATAATTCTCCTATTTCAAATTGAAAAGTGTTATTTCCTTCTTTAGATGCACATAAATGAGATGCTCATTTTCAAACAAATTGCTAACAAAATAATAACAAAGTCTGAGTGAGTCAGATAAATGTAACCTTACACTTGAAAACAATCACACTTAACTCAAACAGACCTGTTTTACCACCACAGTACAGTCTTTTGATTGTTTCAATTTCTCACATACTTCAGTACAGATAACCTATTGCAGCAATGTGCTTCTCTGACACAGAGAAGTAATTCATCCACACAAAGATAATATTAATTTTCAGACAATTGCTACTCATTGGATGTTTGAGAGTATGCATCTTGAAGAAAATGAAACTTCCAGGACCCTACTAGAGCTTAATGGTCAAGCATTGATGAATCAAATCCTCAGGCAGCCACCCCACTTATCCATAACTTTGTTTGAGATATGTTTTTTTTTTCCAGCCAAAAAAGATTTTATGAACTGTAAGACCCCTTTCACCCATGTTTCCTTTCAAGTGTTGCATTTCAGCTGAGAATTGAGAATGACATGAAAAGAGATGGGGAGGGAGACCCTGCTACTTTTGGTACACATTACTTTCTCTTGTGAATCCCTTTGATGCTATCATTCAGGACCCAGAAATAAAGCAGAGCTCCAGCCACCTGCCATTTTGATCTGCTGGGACTATGGATCTTTCTTCCCAACACCCATCCTGTATACAACATCTTTCTTACAAAAGTTGATGAAATGATTTCCATTTTATGGTTACATGTTCAAGCAGCCACACTAACCTTATTGAGAAACCTATTTTACAATACCATTTCATTCAGTCTCACCTATTTCTTGCTTTTAGTTCCAAAGCCAAATCTAACAGAGTAATGCAGAATAGATGCCTCACTTGATAAAATATGGTTACCCATCCCTATCTTAAAGAACTTGACAACAGCATCACAGGTAATGTTTCTAAACCAACAACCAACTTATGTAATTGCAAAACTAGCCTGAATTATACCAAAATGGCTCTCACACCATTTAAATGAAACAGGTGTTGTTCTAAGACATATAGGCACATTAAACATACAATATGGGTGTTCTATAAGGTATGCACCTCTATTTCAAAATTCATGCCAGTCCTTACAGTTTGAACATGCAAAGTTCCAGTTCCTTTTTATATCTTTTATACCATTCCAATTCAACATGTATCTACTGTTTGATCCTCATCTGTATTCAATCACAGTTACAAGTCTACAAGTAAGCCTGAACAATTTACTTGGGTGTTGATGTGACACTATGCAGTTTCCACTTATAAGCTGTAGAAACAGAAGCAGAATATTAATGTGACCAGTTTGTATATGAACACAAAGACAGATACATTTTTATCAGACCTTCTAATGGATCTTTCCTCTACTGAAGCCTCATTTGTAGAATCAAGTTCTGAACCATTAGATAGCATAAGATATTTGGGCTGTTACTGGTTACTCTAAAAAAAACAACAGGTTTTCATAAAGAGAGAGAGAGATCAATACTCTTAATTACAAGAATCTAGCACATCTCCACCTTTGTACATTCAAAATAGGTCAGCGTGGAGTACTGCAGGATTCAGTAAACCTGCTAAGACAAAATGCCTGGTTGGTTCCCACAACAGGTTCAGCCATAAACTGTCCAACCCTACTGTGTAACTCTACCTATAGTATATTAGCTACTGGTTCCATCTGTTTGACTTTACTGTTTTGATCTAGTTTTCTCCACCTGAATTGACCATACAATTCAGGGCTCTGGCCTATAGTTCCATGTGGTCTGCATGAAGCTACCCTCCATGAATAAAGGGGAACTATAGCCTTGGTCTCCCACATCAGGCACCCCTCCCCCCAGCCGTCATGTGACATTTCAAGTGTTGGCATCGGGCTTGTTTTTATGACCGGGTGCAGCATCCCATAGCCATGTGACCATAATTTACAATATTTTTACCACTTTGCAGAGTCCCAGGATGATGTGATCATCTTTTACAACCTTCTAACAAACAAAGTCAATGGGGAAACCAGATTCACTTAATAACTGTGTTTGGGCAAAACCTATTTAACAAATTTGTCACTTAGCAACATAATTTCTGGGCTCAATTGTGGTTGTAAGTCGAGGACTACCTGTATTGGAAAAAAAACCTGTCCAGTCACCTTTACTGCAATGATTTATGACTGAATTTCTGGCCCTAGGAAGTCAGAATTACCTGTACTGTATTGCCAATCCCTGTCACATGAGGATGTGTAAAGGCTTTTAGTAAAAAAATAAATAAAGATGCAATGAAAGAAAAAGCTGGGAACTACATTCGATCTGACTCTTCAACCCAATAAAGGATAGAGATGTTGGGAAGTCTCCTTCCCCATATTTCCACTTTTAGTTTTCATAGGAATAATTTGAATACATGTGTAGGGCTAGTACGCTGGGAGAGGAATGCATAGGAGTCATACCCAGCTACCAATCTACAAGTATTGTATAGCATCACAGAGAGGAAAAACCTGCATGGGATATAATGCATAGCAAACTAAAATTGTTCCAGACTTTCTTTGTCGGTTGTACAATATTTGCAAATCTTAAAACTAGGTGAGCATTCTTAAATCCAGAAGAGGCAGATGTTGTTTTTCTCCAATAGGCGACCCTTTAGACCAGTGATGGCAAACCTTTTCGGCACTGAGTGCCCAAGCTGAAACATGTGTGCATCCACATGCATATGCAAGTACTGGAGTGCTGGAAAACTGAAGACCAGCTGGTTGGTGTGTACATGACTGTTTTTTGGCCATTGTTGGGGCCATTTTCAGGCTGTTTTTCAAACCGAAAATAGCATGAAAAACAGCCTGAAAACAGCCTGGGTTCTTTGGCCATTTTCAGGCCATTTTGGGGCTCATTTTTGCACCAAAAACTCCCCCCAAAATGTCCTGAAAATGGCCCGAAAAACAACCTGGAAACTGGCCTGGTTTTTGGCCATTTTCCAGTGCTCTGGCACCCTTGAAGACCAGCTGGCTGGCACACCAGAAACCCAAAGAGCAGTTGGCGATGGTGCACGTGCCCACTGAGAGGGCTCTGCGCGCCACCTCTGGCATGCATGCCATAGGTTCACCATCACAGTTATAGCCCAAGCAATCGCACCATGGCTGCAGATGACATTTTGATGTGAGAAGCATTCAGACAGAAGCAAGACTGTCCCTGCTGAGAATCAGGAAGCTCTCCAGAAGCAGAGCAGATAAAAAGAGAATACGAGAAGAGAATCTCTTTTGCCTATTATACTGTACCTTTGCATTTTTTTTAACTTAGTGATAATTGCCTTTTTGCATCAGAATGGGGATGAAAGGAGCCAATTAACCACTAAATGGAAAATATGATAAGCAGAAATAAACAGTTTATTGAGAGAGGGAAGCAGGCAGGCAGCCAGCCACCCAGCTTTCTGTCTGGATTCTCAGATTATTCTTTGAGGTCTTGCCTGCAGGCTATCTTGAGCATCCATCAGACAGACATAGGTACTGGATTAACTTTATTTCCCTAGTGCTCTCTCACCTAAGAAGGACTTCTTAAGTAATTTTAGAAGGGATTTTCCACCAGTTATTTAAGTCTATAATCCATCCATGAGTGTGTTTTTAAGATGGTTTTAGTCGCTGAAACTCAAAGTATTCTTTGTAGTTTAGAATTTGGAAAAGGATCAAATTGGGTTTAGTCAAGGTCTACAATTGTTCTTATTTTCTTTCCTGGGCTACTATAGGAAGAAGAGCATTATAGAAATAAAATTAGTTGAGGAAGTTACCTCTTAAACCCCAGAACTGAGTATCTCTTAATTACTAAACCTATCTAATGGAGAATGTGGGAGCTTTGGAGGAAAGGTCCAAAGAATGGTAGCTACTTCTGAAGATCAATAGCTTTTGGACTGCCAGCGATCTCTCTGCTTGCCAACTACAACTGGATGAATGAGTTTGTAACCAGAGCCTCCCCAATCAAGTAGCTGGTACTTCCTTTTCTATGCCCGAATTTAAGTTAATCCTTGGAAGCACAAGATCCTTCCAAACCATCTATAAGTGTTCAAAGCTATCCTGGTTATGGAGCCGCTAGGTTTGGTTTACTTTTCTTCCCATCTCCATTGCACCCAACCTGTCAATCTGTTCATTTGATAGCTTCTGACACATCCCTTGTTAAATGGGAAAGAACATTCTTTCCCTCTGACTTACAAATACAGACTGGTTTCTGAGAAGACCACTGGCTACTTTTTTGACAAGTGATTGTTTTCTTCCCCTTCAGTTCAAATGCAGGCTGGCATTCAAATGTCAATGAGTCTCCATGGCGAAATGTTGACCCTTCTCTCTTGCCATACGCGAGCAATCCGGGATCTCCACAGCTTCCCTGGTCAATTTCTAGACGAAACACAAATAAAGATATGAAAGTAGGGAACATAAAGGAAATCTCTGCATGCAATTTTTTATCTGGCATTTTACTCTTGCTATCATAGCAATTCTTTCCATAAGCATACACACACACACACACACACACACTCATCATAAAATATAGGTCAGGCTTGTTTGCTTTCATAATGCTTTGGGAAAACTTCTAATGTCACAGCAGAAGAAGTCAGAAGGACCAGTGTATGACCCTTCCAGCTCCTGGACACATTCTCTACTTAGACTATATTTTTCCTTTGCTCTTGCAGGCAATTCCTGGGAAATTAGTCCATAAATGGAGTTAGAAATAGAAGAAACAGATTTAAAAAATCAGATGTCACAAAAGACTCTTTTCCTGTCATTCTTCTTCTTTTTAAGTTTATAGACTTCAAGATGTTGAAGGAAAAAAAAGAAGAAAGACAAATGTACCAAATCTCCCCTAAAGATAAAGCTTTTCAAAACTGTCATGTGAATCACTGAAATGATATGAATATTTCCCTTCTGTTCTTCTTTGATTGCCAGGTTGAGGAGTTAATCCATGGCATTGATAAAATGCAATGTGCTTGGATTTTATTCTAGGGTGTGGCTCAAAGCCAAACATTTTGGCTTTGCCTAACATTGAATTATGCCTTAGAACGTTGTGTTCTTGGGGTTCATTCAGCCAAGGAATGAATATCAGCATCAAAAGTGGGAGAAGTGCTACTGACCTGGTACAGGTGCACCTGCTGTACCTGTCAACACCATCTTAAAGAAGGCACTCCTTTTCCTGAACTTGCATGGTAACTACAAAATTCCCAAACAATGTATGCTTCAATTCAGGGAATGTCAAGGGCATAGAGACAGGTAGAGTAAAGGTGTATATGTTGGTCCTGAAGCACTTTTCCCATTTCAGATCCAAATACTGCAGATGCCTCTCATGAGGGATGTCTGCTGGGTATGGTCAAAAAGTCAAGACTGTGGCCCAAACAACGCCATCACAGTTCCACCTGTGGTTTTTTTTTTAAATAAAAGTTTGCAGTACACATAAAAATTGATGGAGTTTCCATTGCATTATTGTGACAGCTATCTTGACAGTTTTTTTTTTAACCATGCCCTGTGAAGACCCACGCTTACCCTTAATCATGATAAACATGGACAAGAAGGAAATGTGAGCACTGCTACAGTATCTGGGATAGGTTGAAGAGACAAATAGAGCAGCGATTCCCTCAAGGGTTTCTTTCAGATGATGCATCCAAAGCTCTCCTTGTGTCACACATAAAACATTGCCTCTTAAAAAATCATACTCTGCAGTCACTCTGGCCATTTTTTCATTATCCAGTTGGCTTTTTGTAATTTAAGAAAACTAGTGTGAACAATCTTAACCAGGGGTGGGATTTTACCAGTTCCGACCAGTTCTGAGAACTGGCAAATCTCACCACTGGCTGGCCTCTCCCCTCCCCACCCCACCCCACCCCACCCAGGAGGCTTCCCTGAGGCCCAGTCAGGGGTGGCTATTCAGGGGCTTAGGGGAGGGAGAAGTGGCCTGAGAGCAGAGCTGAACCTGCCTTAGGATTGAAGCTTCTATTTTTCAGTGCAGACTCAGGCAGCAGATCGCAGAAAGGTAGATCTGGGAGTGAAGCTGTGATTCTGCAAGCAGCTCAATCTGCCTGCCTGCTTTGCCTGATTTGGGGTAAAGGTTGCTCTTTTTTTAAAATAAAAAATCCAATCTTTACATATATATTTACAATATTTACATACAAGCCACGCCCAGCCAGTCACATGACCACCAAGCCACACCCACAAATTAGGCCATGCCCACAGAACCGGTTGTTAAGAAATTTGAATCCCACCCCTAATCTTAACTCTCTCTTCTTAAAATTTCTTTTGAAAGATCTTCTTTAAAGAGAAATGTTCAGTTATTGAAGATTTGAAGTGATCCATTACTTATTTGGATACAAGCTGGCTGGGAATAGGCCTTTCCCCCCTTTCCCCCTAAATAAAATTTAACTGAATCCAGAAAAGAGACAATGCTTTTGCCAAAGAAGCCAGGCACAGAGATGGCAATGACAAAAATGACCGGGGTGGTGTGGGGTGGGGGCGGTGGAGTGTGAGAAATCCTTTATTTTGCTAAAATAGCGTCATTCTGACAGAAGGCTCTTATTGAGCATATTGTGATCTACTTGCTTCTAATGTAACATGTTATACAAAAACATTACTATGATTAAAAGTCATAGTTGAAATGTCCCAGGTGGTATTATGGAAGAAACACAGCCCTTTTGAATGCTCACCCACAACTTTATTTTAGTGCCTACCTGTAGATTAAACTAGAAATAAAGTTAATATTTTTAACATACTTGGGTAATTGGTGTATGGGAACTTCCCTGCCTGAGCGTCTTGATTGCGTAACCAAACTGGTGGTGGAGTTGCCAAGGTTTATGATTCTAGGAGACTTCAAGTTCTCTTTTCTGAGAGTGGCATTTGGGCTAATTCAGGAGTTCATGGCTACATGACAGCCATCGGCCACAGATGTGATAATACACTGGAACTGGACTTCATTCAGATCTGGAATTGGGTGAGTTTTCTGTTACTCCTTTGTCAGTTAAGTTAACTCCCTGGTAGCCATTGAGGTTTTATGTTGCCATTTCTCACCGCAAAGAGATGGGACCTAATTCAATCAGAACCTCCCAAGGAACAAGTCACCCTGACAGGTTCCAGAAGGATTTTGGAGTTGATCCTAATGGTCTGCTTCATGGTCTGATTGAGGCTCTAACTGCTGCCTGGAATGAGGGAGTGGCAGGGGCTTTAGATTAGATCACAACCATGTGAATTCTATCCATCCATAGATCCCACCAGGTGAAAACATTGATGCCAGTTTTCCAAGGCAGGCCAAACTTGGAAACCAAAGACAAGTAAGATTCTATCACTTTTTCAGGTTATAACAATAGAATCCTGCAAATCTTAATATGCTTTCCCTCTGCTCCCTTTGTCTTCATGAGAACTAGTCATGTCTGAGAGGATTTCTCGGATTACATTTCTGCCCCAAACTAATTTCTTTCATTTGATATTGTCTTGGTTGAGACTCATGAGTCACAACTTCTGTTCAAAGAGCAGGTGGCAGCTCTAGCCTGGAGGGCCTTTTTTGTACCTCTTCTCAATCATTTCCACCCCAGATTCATTACAAATGGATTGCTGTAATATGGTTTACATGGAGCTTCCCTTGAAGAGCATGTGGAAGCTGCAGCTCATGCAAAATACAGTAGCACAGGGAGCTAAGCCTGCTCCTCAATCAGCACACTTTACATCTCTGGTTTGTCAGTTGCACTGGCTACCAGTATAGTTCTAGGTTCAATTCAAGTTGCTGGTAAGGAACTGTAAAGCCCTACATACCATGGGATCAGGATATTTGAGAGATCGCTTCTCCCTTGTTACAATCTCATCATGTCTGGCAGGGGAGACATGTTGAGGGAAGAAGAGAACCTTTTCTGCCATGGAATCTGCCCTTTGGAACATCAAACCAACCAGCTTTTGGGAAAGCTTTGAAAACATGGCACTGCCATCGTGCTTGGAGGCCAGCTGATAGTGGAGAGCTGCTTCAATGCCTGTGAGGATGAGGCACTGACTGAACACTGAGGTTGATTTTTCTGTTTTTAATGTGTTATTGAGGATTTGTAGGCTTTTTAAATTAATTTGTGGTGTTTTTTTTGTTTTTTGATTTAGCTATTGCTTTAATTATTGTGAGTTACCCAGTCACTGAGATGCGATTGACAGCTATATAGAATGAATGAATGAATGAATGAATGAATGAATGAATGAATGAATGAATGAATGAAACAGGCAGATAGAGAATGTATGGCATGATATTGTATGATTTTCAAAGATGAATTGGGAAGAAATTAATCTCTACCTACAGTTATTCCCTTGGGATGTACCAATTGTACATACTGCACTAGTTTTTCCCCCTACAATTTCTTGTGAAAGGAGGCAGAACATGAACTCCCCATGCGTGTATTCTAATTAATTGTCCTCACAGAAAGCTAATTTTGAAGTTTCAGACAAGAAAAAGACTCAGAAATGTTTCTCTTAGCTGGGGGAGGAACAGAATCAATGGAATGGAGAATGTCTGCTTAGTGCTAGTCAAATATTCTGGTTCACTACCTGAAGGATAATAATAATAATAGTTGGGTAAAAATGGCAAATCCAGTCTAAACATCTGGCTGTCTATGCAGTGACTCATAATAAAAATAACAATGATGCATTGAAATATCTGCAAGAAATATAGTTTGCTTGCAAGCAAGAACTGGTGGGACCAAAAAAAATAGACAAAGTAATAGATAACAAAGAAGCTAAAATGCTCTGGGATTTCAGGATTTAAACAGAGAAGCACCTGTCACAAAACATGCTAGACTTAACAACTGTCAACAGGAAAAGCAAAAGAAGTCTGGAGAATGGGCATGGTAGTACCTGGAGACAACAGAATAAAAGAGAAAGAACTAGAGAAAAATAGGAAGACCTGCAAATAGAATAGAATGACTATGACAAAAGAAAGCAAAGATAGTACCAACAGTGATAGCTGCCTTAGGTGCAATCTAAAACATCTGCAGCTTCGCTAGAAGACCATCAGCACTGACAAAGATTACCAGTCAATTGCCAAAGGCTGCTTTACTTGGGGCAGCACACATCCTTTAACACCATGAAACAACATCTGCCTATCTCAGGTCCTGAGAAGGACTTGATAGGTAGATGTTAAAAAAAAATGCCAAATCCAGATTAAACATCTGGCTGAGTACAACCGATCATCATAATAATAGAAAATATGTGCATTGGCAAAATGTCCACCTGTCAATGACCAAAGGCCACACTTCTCGGATCTGCACACATACAGGAATGATATATCACAGCATCCTAGCGTTTAGGGAAGAACTCAGTGTGAACAAAGGTCAATGCCAGGTAAAGAACTGGAAGCTGTGGTTTCGTGCTGTTGTGTATAACAATAAAAA